TATCAATTCATCACCAAAGAAATAAAAATGAAAAAAAAAATAATGGTCATATTCCATTTTATTTGCTACAATTTTTTTGCTTGAAAATTAACTAAGAAAGCCGCCTGGAAAAATTCCCTAGAACATCCTTTTACCCGACCGAGTTAGTAATTCAACTCTGCCGCCATCTAGCGGCATTCCTCGAACGGGCCTTCCTTACCACTTATGTCATCAAAATGTAATTTTCATAATTAATTGAAACAACCGATTTATCGATGCCAATTACGACAAATAGGTCAACCTTCACTCTATAATCATTTTGGTCATCAATTTTTATCATGCCTGACCTCCTTATCCCCTTAAAACCGCATCCATATACATCCATGCACATCCATGCAATAGCATGGATACTCCATGGATCTTGAATCGCCAGGGCAATCGATCATGAAAGAATAAAAGGAATTGAAACAATAAATTAAATAACTCAATTAACCTAATGACAATTTATTTAATTTGAACATCTGATAATAATTCTTCCTCTTAAATTCATTAGTTCTCCCGTAATTATCCGTCCATAATAATTCACCTCTTGAAACTCGTTGCACCGCATTTATCTGCCGAACAAAATTCATAACAAATCAATTATTTAATAATAATTTATGAATAGTAATTAATTAATTAATTCTATTATAAAATCTATTGAATCGAGGTTCTGAATATGGATTAATTAAAAATGGTAATGCTCACCCAATTATCGGGATTTTTCTAATGAACTTGAGTGGAATCTCCATGAGACGATCAATGATACCCATTATCAGGGTAATGAACAAAACAGTTATTTGCAGACGATTCATCGTTGAAATAATAAATCGACACTTGAGATTTCCAGGGAATGGTCTGATCGTCTGCTCTTTCAGGGAAGTTATCACCCTTGATGGACAGAACATCGACTTTTCAAGGGAAATCTTCAACATTTATGATCAGTAATAAATTCACTCGATTAAATGCTCATGTCGCCTGTAAATTTCACGGTTCATATTATCGGTTAATATTCAGGGATTTATTGGATTGATAAGCGGTATTTATTACTACGATGTGTTTTATTTTCTCATCAGAAATGCCTTTGTTTATTTCAAATTTTATTAATAATCGCGCGGAGAGAAATATTTAGTAAAAATTATGGAACTTTCAGTTCGCTTGCCGATTACGGAACCAACTCGAAAAGTCGAAGGGACGGTATCGTAATTTTCTACAGATAATTCAGATAAAAATTACGGAACGCCGCAGAAAAACTCCGTGACTCTAGATAAAAATGACGAGACAGATCCGTAAAATTTTCTACATTCACATTTCGCTCCGAACTTACATATTCAATGAATGTTGATTTTTTTCATCGAAGAAATGTAGATGATAATAAAACGCTAGCAATTCTCCGAAAAGTAAAAATAAAAAATAAGTTTTTGAATATTTTTCAACTTGTCCTGAATCTTATATTTAACAAAAAAGTTCTTCAAGATATAGTGTCGATATATACTATTCTTTCAATTGTGCCGTAATTGCTACGTCTTAATTTAGGTAATTACTGCATTCCAATTACCGCCTAGTACTATTTCAATGCCCCAATTATTATTTAATTCTTAACTTTCTCTCAACAAAGGAAAGGCTGGACAGTTCAAGATAATAATCATATCCACTATTACAGCTCTAGTATAATTGATATAACATTATTACATTTAAATTTATAATTATACTCGTTAAATATCTGAGGTGAGATCGAACGTCAGAAGGGCGTCACTCCATGAAATGGCGGCGATTCTCAATGAGAACGGCATTATCAGCTGAGCATAGATTATTAAGATTATTATTATACTAAAGTCAGCATAAGTTTTTACTTCTCTGGGTACCCCCACTCCACGTAGTTACCTCCGTAACCATGTCCCCCACTCCTAAAATCAATGTTAAAACTTATGCTGACTTCAGTATATAAAATCAGATACTCTCCTATTATAAAAAGGACAAACATCGAGACTATCGATATTTCAAGACTCTGTCCCGCTTCTTTCTCATTGGTTCAGTCACCTGAGGCAACTAATTTCAATTGAGAACTCATTTAAGGCCCGGGTGGACTATCTATCGAATATCGACTTCGGTTCAAATTTTATTTTTTTAACCTAAAATACATTAAAATTTGGGATCAATTTTGTGTTGCGGGAAGCACTTGAATGGACATGAAAAAATAATGAAAAAAAAGAGGAAAAATTATTGAAGGCTAAAGATCACGCTAAAGATCGATATTATTTAAGAGGGATTTACCAAGTTTGCTAAAAAAAATAATAAAAAATACGTAGCTTACTTACTATTGCATCTAGCTGTCCCTTAATCTTCTGGAGAGCAATGATAGCCTGCCTAATTTTTATGATTTTTTTGTAAACTTGGTAGATCCCTTTTGAACAATATCGCTCTTGAGCGTCCGTCAATAATTTTTCCTCTTTTTTTTTTATGATTTTTTTATAATCCTTCAAATATCTCACGCAACACAAATTTGATTCCAAATTTTAATGTATTTTAGACTAAAAAGATAAAATTTAAACAAAAGATAACATTCGATAGATAGTCCACCCAGGTCTTAATTTAAAAGTTGTCAATCACAATTTTTATAATTACGGCCTGCTGTAACGCGTGCTTTCTCGCACAATAAAAAGACAATTATAATTGCTACATTACCATTTAAAACAGAATTATACTTGTAATCATTTACAAGGTAAAATTGAACGTCAAAATGGCATCAACCCCCAAAATGGCATAAATTCTCGAGGAAAACGACATTATCAGGTGAGCATGACTGCCATACCGACGGTGACACCTGCCGCCCCTGCCCCCTGCCACTGCGTCCGACGCCACATCCACGCCATTTCCTTTTTAATTCCTCTGGCGTCTCCAACGGTACGAAGGCCCTTTTTATTTTCCTCTCTGTCACATCAAAACGTCGTCAAACAACGTAAGTACACATCCATTAATGTTCCCTTCACTCATAACATCTGGACAATTAAAAATCTTTTTCAATTAATCAAATACTCTAAAAACATTGGCCAATTTTCCACACCAACCGCTTCACCGGCATTCGCTGTGGCGAATTCCTTGGATTAATTAGGATATACGCTTCTTTTCATCTGTAGTTTTCCTATTTTCAGGTATTTATTGGGTATTTTAAGCCTTTGATTGAGAACGAGTCAGAAATTCCACTAATTGCGTTTTGATTCTCTAATTGCCTGAGACCTTGAGAACAATTGATTTGAGTTTGTAATCGTCTCGATACTCTAAATAGTTGTCCTTCTCTGTTCATTCGACCTTTGACCCGCGATTTGGGGGCGCGGATTTTCCCAAGAATTAGTTTTTTCTTTTCTCGGATTATTCAAGGTCAATGTGTTACATAACCATTTAGCACAACGTGGCTTTATTCTAGTTTTCACACGATCAAAAGTTTGAAAAATATGAAACTCTCATCAATTTTTAAGATCCAATTTATCCCTCGATTATTTTGTCTGTTTGATAGTTGAATTTTATTGGGGATTTAATACGACTCGACGATATAATTTTTTTTTTGTGAGGTTTATCTAGTCTAGCTAGTCTATCCCCTGATGCTTCTCTCTCGCTAATTTTATGACTAAGAGTTGATTGAGGTACTAACATAAATTTTCTTAATTTCAGAAAATGGTTTCCTCGAATATGCCGGTAAGAATTTTTTTTATTGCTCTTTGTGAATATTAAGGGAATTTTTCAGACGTTTTTTTCTATACATATTCGCGACTTATCTATCGAGCTCTGGACCGAAGGAAAATAATTCTTTTATTATTACTATTATTAATTTTATTTGACTACATGAATTTTTGAATATAGCAATCAGTTGTGATTCTCCCCTCATTTTTTGGTAAAGTAAATTTTTGAAACTTCCAAGAATCAAAATGGTAGATGGGAAATTTTATCAGATTATTATTATAGCAGTAATAGTGATAATAACAATATTAAATAATCATAATTCATTGAGCTTTGATAATTGATATGTGAAGTTTAATTTAACGGTATAATGTGATGCTAATGGTTATTTAAAACGTTTTAAAGAGGAAGACCAAGATTTTCGTGGGTCGTCTCCCTGAGAATTGTCGTAATGACGAATTACGCCAATTATTTCTGCGTTATGGAGAGGTTACGGAGTGCGATGTGATGAATCGTTATGGTTTCGTCCACATGGCTCGTGAGGAAGATGCAGCAGCAGCAATTAAAGCTCTGCACAATACCAATTTCAAGGGTGCAACGATAAATGTCGAGCAGTCGACTGGAAAATCTCGAGGAGGTGGCCCCGGTGGTAGGAGAGATGACAGACGAGGTGGACCCATGAGAGGAGCTCGTGGAGGAAGGGAGGGAGGTCGTGACAGTAGACCAGGGCCTTACAGCGATCGTCGAGGTGACTAAAAATTACTCAATCATTTTCATTTGATTATCTCGGTAACTAATAATTCTAGAGGATAAAGTAATTTGACTTTTTTCGATAATATACCAACAACAATAATAATCATAATCCACTGATTGGAAATTGAATCTAATTTAATGCATGATTACATTGGATTTTTCAATACCTTGTAATTATGGATTATCTCAGTAATGCGTTATTTTAGGAGAAAATCTCATGAACCTTTTTTCGTTCTAAATTCTTTCAATTACAAAAAAAAATCCTTATCGCGTTTTCTCCGAGGGCCTTTCGCTATCGAGATAATCAACAAATTAGAGAATGCACATCATTTAATCTACCATTTTATTCGATATTTCAATCTTTCCGAACTGTTAACATAACCAGATGACCGTGAATTTTACAGAAAAATATTATTAAACTCTTCTATAGAAAATGAAATTCCGTATGAAAAAGTTTAATACCATTTTTACCTGAGACCCTGTCTTCTCGAGATAAAACTGAAAAATCTGCAATTACTGATATTTAATTGGTTCAGGTGGTGGTGGTGGATACTCTGATTATGGCAACCGTGGAGGAGGTGGTTATGGAGATCGTGGTGGAGATTATGGTGGGCCAGGAGGCGGATACGGTGACAGAGGTGGATATGGCCAGGGTGTGGGTGGAGGAGGAATGGGTGGATACAGTTCATCGGCTCCAGGAATGGGTGGAGGTGGTTATGGGCCCTCTGGAGGATCAGTTGGTGGTTATGGACCCAGTGGCACCTCTGATTATGGCAGAAGTGGTGATTATGGTCGGCAGGGGGACTTTGGCGGTCGCTCGGACTACGGAAACTTCCAGTCTGGGGGTGGAATGGGTGGTGACTTCAATCGTGGAGTTCCTGGAGTCGCTGATTATGGCAGGGGTGACAGCTTTGGCAGTGGCAGAGCTGCTGATCCTTACACTCAGAGAAATGATTACGATCGCAGCACAGCTGGACCCATGAGGAATGGAGGAGGTGCTGTGGCTTCTGGTGGATATGGATCTGGATATTCTGATGGGGGGCAGTATGGGAGAGCCATGGGTGGAGGTGGACCCTCTTACAACAGTGGAGCACAGAATTATAACAGTGGACAGGGACCACAGGCTGACATGTTCAGCAGACGTCCTGGGGGGAATGCTGTTGCCAGTGGTGGATATCCACCCGTTGGTGGAGGGTAATTCATTTAATATTATTTTTTATTCTCTGTGAAAGTGGTGAAATTTTTATTTCCATCAGGACATTATTTTATTTAAAATTTCACAACTGACTCAGTTATTTTATTGAGATTGGTGAAATGTCTGGAACTTTATCTTAATCATTAATTGAGTTCCAAGTTAGAGGTTCCCTATTGAAATTATTGAATAATCATAAATGTTATAAGAATTTTTCCAGAAAAAATTTCTTCTGAAATGCAAAGTTTCTCAGTGGCAGTTCTCATTCTTAGAACATTTCTTTAAGTGCTGTAGAAAAATTTCTCAGTTTATGTCATTTGTTTATCAATATTATTACAAGAATTGCAAAAATGTAATATTATAATATAATTTTTTGGAAAGAAATTGTTTTCTGGAAGAATTATTAATAGTCTATAATAAACTAAACTGTTGGAAAATTACACTTGAAATTTTTAAAAGCGATAAATATTATTAAAAAATTGAATTTCTAGAGTTTTTTCCATTGACGAATCAGTTAATTTTTCAAATATTCGGTGAATTATCAATTTTCAGGTCCATATGGCATTGCAAACCCCTGCGAATGTGAAAAAATCAAGCACTAATTTTTCCAAATTTTCAATCTGTTGAAATGTCAATTTTATCTGATATTGAATTTTACTGAAAATTTTTCTGAGCATATCAATGGACATGAACGCTCAAATTATCAAGAAATTCTCAAGATGAATCGGAAATGTACTGACGATTTTTAATTTCAAATCAATTGCCACTCACTGAATTTAAAATTCCATTGTATTTAGTGTCGATTTTCCCTGCTGAACCTAAAATTCAAGTCTTCATTAAAGAAATAAATTATCCATTAACATGAAAATCTCAATTATGTTGAATTCCCAAGATAAATGGAAATTTACTGACAATTTTAATGAAAATTCAATTGAACCTCACGTAATTGAAAATTCCAGCTTTTTATTAACAAATCATTCATTAGTCAAAATGAAAACCTCAATTTTCATGGAAAATGAGCGATTTATCGTTTTTAAATCGAAATTTAATTGAAAATTCAAACGACTGTAGCGAAAATTTCAAGAAATATTCAACAGTGTACGAGGGATTGATTTTGCGATGATCAAAATGAAAATATCGTAACACATTTTATCACTTCACGTCGTTTTTCTCAAAGTTTCAACTTCGATTTTCTTATTCTCAAAGCTATACTGAAGCGTACGATAGACCAGATGCCTATGGACCCCGTGGTGGTGGTGGTGGTGGTGGTCGGTAAGTTAAAGCCAAATATATTTTATTGATTTTCCATAACAAAAAACATTATCGTTAAAAAAAATTTTCAACGAGCGCAATAGCGTCGCGATTCTCGTTATCATCGAAACAATTTCCCACCGTCGACCACGAAAAATCTTTAAATTTCCCGTATAAGGTGTAACGTAATTATATTTTCCTCAAGGACTTCTAACTCTCATTTAAGAATTTTCCAATCTTCTCTGGAATGTTTATCCAACGATATTTCTTTTCCTGATTCATCTGGCTCGTTCAACCGATTTTTTGCGATTTTTTGCGTCGACCTGCGAGCGTTTGAGCGTTGCGAATCGATTATTACAATGCGATTTCGTCGAGGCCGATTGCTGTCAAAGCTGTCAGACGATTTGCGAATCGATTAATGCGTCAGTTTTATTGCTACTGCTTCCTGATAGGTTTATACACTGACATGTAGATCAAAATAACTTGTCATTGATGATTTTTGTGGAGAGTAGGAATACGACGTAATTATTCATTAACTAATTGCCAAATACGAGGGGCGAGTGATTAAACGTTATTAGTCGATTTTATCGCATTCCATTGCTGCATTTTTTTTCTCTTGGGAACCATTCATTTTCAATTTAGTTCAAGTTATTAAACAATTATTTATAATAATCACAGATAGTTTACTCAATGCAAACGAAATTTCTCGGTGAAAATTTTGTATTTCAATTAAAAATGTTATTTCGTGTTATTATTATCATTATTGCTATTTGATTTTTTCAGTAATAATAATAATAATAATAATTAATTCAATAGTACGAAATAACTTTTTATTATAAATAAAAAGTATATAAAAAAAATATATATATAAAAGTTTGAATATAAAAAAAAATCATCTTTTTCATTTATCTCGAACATATAAAGACAATTAATTTTTTTTTTTAATGAATGAACAGTAAATCTGCAGCTAAAGGAAACGAAAATCGACAATTTCGCTCAATATAATAATTTATTAAAAATTGCAGTCGATAATTATTGAATCAATAAGGAAGACATAGAAGAAGATTAAAATTATCTGAGAGCCGTCCCGATATTTGAATAGTCCAAAATCCCTGAAAACGTTACATCTTATACATTGGATAACCGACAAAGAGGGCAAAAGCCTTTCATTTACCTTAAAAAAAAAGAATCCAGCGTATGTGATTATTTTCTCATTTTTTACTATTTTAGCTTCCCAGGTCCGGCAGACGCAATGCCCCCGAGGTACTAATGCGTGTTCTCCCCTCGATTTAATTAAAAATCGTAATTAATCGCGTTAATGGCATTGTCATGCCAGGGAGCGTGTACATGCGATAAAAAAAAATGTTGATAAGGAGATACGGATTTTTGACAAAACGAATCATCGTCCTGGCCCTATTCGAAGGACTTCTGCGTCTGGCGAGAATAAAACACGTCATCGAATTCATTGACACAACAAGTTACAATACACGGTACTGATCGATTTCTTTCCATGATACGCACCGTGGAATTTTTACGATAATAGCGAGTAAGGTACCTTAAGTCTACGTTATTCAGTGTGTAGGCTAGGGTTTTTTTTTGTTCACTAAATTTTACTCCTCTGCAATAAAATGTACCCCAAATAGATTGAAAGGCGATTGAAAAAAAGGAGATCTGTCCAATTTTACGGTTAGGAATATTAATTTATCTAAAAAACTATTGACTTACCAAGGAAATGTGATGAGACTATTTTTCTTGGATATTTCATTGGCTATAATAAAGTTCTGCGACGATTTTATCTGGGATCAATAGGTTTTGAGGTAAATTTATAATTCTAAAACAGTTTATGTTCGATGAAAGGGAGATCAGTCGAATTTTATAGTTGTAAATGTTAGTTTATCGAAAAACTATTGATTTGAGAAGGAAATGTGATAAGAACGGTTTGCTTTGAAATTTCGTTAGCTACAAAAAAGGATTGTGTCATTTTCATCTGAAATTGTTTGAAATCTTGAAAAAAATCTTTCTCAAAATTTTTGATGAAATTTCAAATTTTAATTCACAGAATTTTCATTTTTTTACAAAAAACCAGTCTTTTTACATTACATTTTTTTTTAACGCTTAGGAATTTCAGTATTTCACCTTCACATTTTTTAATTTAAACAGAAATTTTGACATTTAAGGACGATTCTAATTTATTTTGATGACTCCAAGCACAGGATAACAATTCGATTTTCTCTCTTATCGCGGAATATCTCCGAATCGGATAGAGGTACCGAAATTTTGATGGTTACTTTTTTTTGTAGCTCTGAATAATGTCTACCAAAAAGTTTCAATGAAAAAATCGCTATCTCTCTAGGATCCCGAGATAAATCGACCGCTACCTTTCGCCCTTTTGCTTTTGATTTATTTGGAGTTCAAAAGGATAAAATTAATAATTTAGAGATTGAAATAGAAACTATAACTGAAAAATAAATGAACAGTTCTCATCAGTAGAGTTCAATTGCAATCAATTGAGGTTTTCATTAAAAAAAACCTGGATAAAAAGAAATAAAATTTCGTGGACAAAAATGACTCTAGTACAATGTCTGAGGGATTTGTCCTAAATAAAAAAAAAACATGAGCACCTCGCGGTGAACCTGTAACCGATAATTTGTTCATATCTTAACAGAAAATAATTGAAAATAAACCATTAATTCATGAGATTGAGTATAAATGTTTTAAGATGAAGAGGACAACAGGGAGAAGAGGATTCAGAGGTGATGAATATGACGAGTAGACGAGTTCTCCATTTCCTTGATTAAAAAAAAATAATAACGAACGTGCTAGGATAGACACAGTTTATTGTCCCAATAGTTTAGAAAAAATTGCGATTGTGCGCTGTTAATTACAGAAATTGTATGAATTTAATTGATGTAATAAGGATTGATAAAGTGTTTTGATTGTTCAGTTCTTTTCTGGATTTATGACAAGGATTAATATGGAAATTGATGGAATTTTGTACATGTGTAGCACAAAATGATGAATAAATGACCGAATAGAATAGACAAGGGATTTGTTGCGTTTGCGATCATTTGTGAGAGCAATCCGTGAGCGCACAGGTATCGAGGATTGATTTATTTTTTTATTTGTGGTGGACCTGGTGAACCCTTTCTCTTCCCTTCCTTCGAGAGAGAAGTGCTGATGACGTTTCTCATGTTGATAGAACATAATATTATCGTACATTGTCCATATTACGATGCGTATTGCTTTGAGGGCCGACGATTTGTGGTACGAAAATAAAATTTCAAGGTATGTTATTTAGCGTGCGTGCGCCCATTGCTTGGATCGGTTGGGAAGTGGCAAACCGATTACCTCGAGAACTGTTGATTTTTCGTGGAAAGATCACTGACATTTTTCTATTGGGTATTTAATTGCCAACAGAAGAGTCCTCTGATGTTTTTACTTTGGCTCGATGGTTTTTGAGGTAAATTGATAATTGTGGAACATTGTATGTTCGACTGAAGGGAGATCGGTTGAATTTTACAGATGTAAATATCCATTTATCAGAGCTACTTTTAATTGGAGAAGAAAATCTCACAGGAGCTTTTTTGGGAAATTTCATAGGCTCCCAAAAAGTTTCGTAACGTTTTCATTTGAAATCGATAGGTTTTGAGATAAGTGGATAATTATAAAACATTGTATGTTCGGCTAAAGGAAAGTCAGTCGAATTGCGCAATTGCAATTATTTATTTATCTAAAAAACTGTTGATCTGAGGAGAAAATGTGATAAAACTGTTTTTGTTAGAAATTTCATAGACTACAAAGAGGTCCCATAGCATTTTCATCTAAAGTCAGAAGTTCTTGAGATAAGTGGATAATCAAAAAATGATAAATTCAATTAATCTGAGTTTACTACTTCGTTACTGATTTGATTAGAAGACAATTAACATTACATTTGTGTTTGTCATATCCACACGAGTTTCGCATTACTATGTTATAATCTCTACAGTGCTGATTACTCAAGATATCATTTTTCATAATTATCTTTCTGATGTGCGATGCGAGGAGAAGGGACTGGAGGGAGATTATTCTTACAAGTAGTGAAGTACAGATTAACGAAATCGTTGCGGACTCATCTTTGTTAGTTAATGGCCGGACGTGCGTTTTATTATGCAATGTTTATTTACATAGGTTTTTGGCGGCATGAGTTAACGAGAATTTTTTGTCAGATGGCAGCCAGGATGAGGGGACTTTGGATGCACTGGGGTGAACTCAGAAAATTGACAATTAGATATTCCTCAGTTTTTCGGGAGCTGTTCTGAGGCTAATTATCTCCAGGTGGAAGGACCCCGAATACCTCGATGCAGGAATTGTTTTTGGAGAAGTGATTATAAATAAATAAAGGAATTAATGAAAAATCGTTACAGTCTTTTGTACTCTGTCTTTCATATTTTCCCCCATTTCTGTGGACTCGACGATTTTACTCTTCTATTTTCTGATAGAAATTTGAATTGGCGAGAGGTAAATCCTATATATTTTTTTAGTCCAAATTTATAATCATTTTAGGCTTATAACTACTTTGTTAATTGGAGAGGAATATAGCACGTGATTAATTTTGAGTGATTTTGAATTAATTAAAATGTATTGAATGGAAATAATTATTCCGTAAGAATCTGTCATTCTGATTCTTTATTTTTCTCATAAATTCATTTTCATAAACTCCCGCGCGTCGTTTGAAGAATTTCATTGGTCGACACGTGCAACGTATATCGATCGAAAACAGATGTTTGCTGGCGATCCATCCACGAATTAAAAATTCTCGATTGTTCTTCAATCAAAATGAAATTCAAGAATTAATTATCAACAATGACAATTATCCAATCGTGTAATTCCTTCCATGAAGCTGCGGACAGACCAGTAATAAGAAATTTATCAATTCGATTGGTCGAAGTTCAACTGAAAGTGTCAGTGGCCGATAAAATTTCCTGGTAATATTCTTAGATAAATCAAAGAATTAAGGATCCATGGAACTCCATGGATGTTCCTTAGCCAATGGATGCCAGGAAAGAGGGATTATCTCCCTCGTTCTCGCCATCCCCCATGATCTTGAGTGTTAAACATATCTTAATTCTAAAATTCGGCGTATTGCTCAGTTTCAATACGTGACAATGAACAAGGAACAAAGTTCACGGCGCTTAAATTACAACAAGGGGAACCGAAAAATTTCATGAGTTGGATGACAATTTTTTTTTAACCATCATTTTTTGTATTTAAAGACAAAAATATAGATTTAAAAAAAAGTCGAAATTTCTAATACGTTCCATCAATTAAAGCGATGAAAGAGCAAAATTGAAAACCTGTGATCGAAATTCGAGTCGTGGAATAATACCAAGCAATCTGTTTAATCGGATAAATTTTACTTTAATAATTGACTAAAATTGGAATTGTGAATTAATTTTTTTATTCCTATATTATTTTAGTAATTCACACTACTCCGATCCCAAGCTATTTCCGAAAGGTAGGCTTAAAACAGGAGAAATTAATACTCATAGTTTTGCATTATTCATTTGATAGTTATTATCGAATATTCAGTGGAAAACGTGACATAACATATACATAACTGAATCTGTTCAATATTATAATAATTAATACTCAATCATTTCGTTTTTTAGTGGTTCTAATAAATTGGTTAGTAAATTAATAATTGATGCAATCATATTGTGAATTTTACCAGGTCTAACGAGGATTGAGGACCAATCAAAATGCCCCTGAGGAATATAAAAGTCCTGGAGCTCGCTGGTCTAGCTCCAGCCCCTATTTGTGGAATGATTCTTGCTGATTTCGGAGCTAATGTCATCCGAGTCGACAGGGTAATAAGAATCTCATCAATTACGAGGATTTCTCCACGCGCCACAAGTTCTTCATGAGATTTTCCGTCGAAGATCTTTTGAGTTCACTAATTGTAAATTGATGAGTCGAACTTTCTTCTAATTATTATGCTTCTTTTGAAACAACTTTTTATTGAATATCTATATCTCTATTTGCATTTTACATACATCTTGAAACATAGTATTAAAAAACATTTGCGAAAATCTGTTCAACATTTGTTTTAAAAAAATGTTTAGATCCATTCGTCTGTCTCGAGATCAAGTATTTGATTCTTTTAAGGGCCGGGTGGACTATCTATCGAGCGTCATCTTTTATTTAAATTTTATCTTTTTAACCTAAAATACATAAAAATTTGGGATAAGTTTTGAGGTCACGAAAATCACTGGAGTTGGCATAAAAAAATAATGAAAAAAAAGAGGAAAAAATTTTGAAGGGCGCTAAAGAGCGATATTTATGAAAAGGGATTTTCCAGGTGGGAACGGACCAAATGGACTTCGTTGCCAATGGAAAAAGATCGATTGCGTTGAACTTAAAGTCTCCGAAAGGCGTGGAGGTATTCAGGAAATTGAGTGATAAATGCGATGTCGTTATCGATCCCTTCAGAAAAGGTAAAGTAACTGAACAATGGATTCAGGTGCACTCAGCTTTGTTTATTTTCCATTGAATCCTTTCATTGGTTCGATGAAACAACTTTGCACTTTTATTATATGCGATTGATCTCGACAATTATCGACTCAAAATGAAAACACCAAAGGACTTTTTTGTAGCTGATTCAATTCCCGAAAAAAAAGGCCTTTTGATAATTTTTCGTCGAATCGATAGTTTACTCAAAATAGATCGATATGCAACAAATCTTCAAACGGAGGTGTAATTTCTCTGGATATATTGACTATTTTTAATTAGTGATTCATCTCGAAAACCATTGATTTCTGTTGGAATATTACCGCAGTTACACAAAGAATATGGTACTTTATCAGGTTGAGGAAATAGAGTGTGAGTTGTGGATGGATATATTGTGGATACACGAAGTAACGAGAGCTCGGAATACACGTAAAGAGCACGTTTGCTTTACTTGACGGTTATATTTTGACTGGTTATTACATTGTACATCCAGCACAATATTATATTGTCTCCTTGTGTGAGTGTGACGAGCAGAAGGCTCATTGTATTTGTTATATATTCGATAATTTCCGTTGAAAACACTAAAGGACTTTTTTGTAGTTGATCCAATTCCCGAGAAAAAAGATCTTTTGATATTTTTTTTAGAATCAATAGTTTTCATAAAAATCGACATTTAAAACCGTAAAATTAACTCATCAATTGATATGAATTTTAGGTGTGATGGAGCGATTAAAACTGGGCCCAAAGGATCTAATGAGTACCAACAGGATGTTGATCTACGCAAGGCTCACTGGGTTTGGCCAGGACGGGCCCTACTCGAGGATGGCAGGCCACGACATAAATTACTTGAGTATATCCGGATTACTGTCTCTCTTTGGTCGTGCAAGAGGGAAACCGACGCCTCCAGTGAATTTCGCAGCCGATTTTGCGGGTGGAGGAGTGCCCTGCGCCCTTGGAATCGTCATGGCCCTTTACGAGAGAACGCAGAGTCAGATGGGACAGGTGATTGATGCCTCCATGGTGGAGGGTACTGCCTACGTCGGGAGCTGGATTTTCAGGAGCCAGAAGAGTCCCCTTTGGGGACAGCCTCGAGGACATAACATGTAGGTCTCAATAAATAATGCAAAATTCTCCTTTTCTAAAAACTTTCACAATATATTTAATATAATAGACATAATATCTGTTGCTTCAAGTAATTAAATCCAATAATCTCATATGCATGAGTTTATTTCCAAGAAATATTTCAGAATTTTGAATTATTTAACATTTAATTCAATTAATAATCCAATAATTTTCTATAAATTAATAATAATTGAAGATAGATAACCGACGTGCGGTGGCCGTGCGGTTAGAGCGTAGGGGGTTGGCACATGAGATTCGTGGGTTCGATTCCCAGTCGGGGAAATGCCAGGGGTTTTTTAGAGATAGAATTCGCTCTAACTTGCACAGGTTTTCATCATACGAGCGGTAGTCTCGAAAGGGACGACTGTACCTGGCCAAGGTTTTTTCCCATGAGGTTTTCCCTTCGGCCCTCGGCGTAATTGCGGTACAGGGGGAACTGGGGGTGGGAAATGTAAAAGCCCGAAAGGGTATACATGTGTGGACAAGTTTAGTTAGTTTTGAAGATAGATAAGAGAAAATTATTCACTTAGGAGTGAATAATTATCTAGACCATTGTTTATGAGTTAATCTATAAATTATTGATCAAAGTTGATATTTTGTTTAATTTTTCGACAGATTAGACTCAGGCGCTCATTTCTATGAGACATACGAAACCCTTGATGGGAAATTCATGGCAGTGGGTGCCATCGAGCCTCAGTTCTACAAAATTTTCCTAGAAAAACTGGACCTTAAAGATGACGATGTGCCCCAGTTCTTAGACTTCGAAGCGAACAAGGAGAAACTCTCAAAAATATTTAAGGGAAAGACCCAGGAGGAATGGAGTAAAATTTTCGATGACACCGACGCCTGTGTCACCCCAGTGCTCTCAATCCACCAACTTCTGGATCATCCTCACAACAGGTTCCAGGAATCCTTCGCTGTAGCAGAGGATGGGACAGTTGCTCCGAGGCCCTCACCAAGGCTCTCCAGAACCCCCGGAAAATCCAATTACCAGAAGAAGAGTCCAGCCCTTGGGGAGAACTCCAGAGAGATTTTATTGGAATTCGGATTCGGCGATCAGAAGATCAACGAATACATCTCCTCAGGAGTTGTTTGCCAAAATCTTCAGAAGTCAAAGCTGTAATTTACTCTCAATTATTTTTAGATCTAAATTGCATCTTTAGCGAAATAATTAATGATTACGCGAGATTGATCTATTTTCCTTTGAAATACCAATTTATCTCGTAAACTATTGATTCTAGGCCAAAATAGCAGAAGCCTGGAAAATTTTATCAGCCATAAAAAAGTTCCTCACTGTTTTTTCCTTAAATTGATGGTTTCCTAAATAAATCGATAAATCGATTTACATCGTTTAATCAGTTTGTTATTAATTTAAATTCCATAAATAATTTCGTTGAAGTAAAATGAAGGCGAATTAATCTCTCCATTTTTAAGGAAAAATCTTCTTTCATTTCTCTTTTTATTTTGTTTTAGGACAATTTTAATTTTTTAGAATTAAATTGATTATTCTGAAATCGAATAAAAGAAGCATCGAATTATTAAAAGATTGTTATATTTATATTTTTACAAGGATATTAAAGGACAGAAATAATAATTATCATCCTCTGATGCATTTATTCTTCAAACCTCCCGCTCTATGATTTCATTGGCGGAGTACCGCCATTTTATAGCATTAAAAAACCAATGAAAAACAGCGAATTGAGAACGCTCTAAACCGGGTCTGAGAGTGAATTGACATCTTCCAAGTGCAGATTAACCAAACAAGTAATTCAGTACAGTATCAGGTAATAATTCAGGATAATATAATTACTGACCCCAAAAATATTGAGACTCATTTATTCATATTTATTCGCTTGAAAAAGTAGTTTTGTGCGCCAAATCATCTCTGAGCGATGATTATTTCGACCGAGAGGTTATGTTGGACCTTTTTGAACTCCCTGTCAATATTTTCCACTGAAAAATCATTCGAGATTTTCTGATTGTGGAAATTCTTATAATCACGTTCGTTCCTTCCTGGAAAGTACTCTCTCGAAAAATTCAATTTACAATATCTTGGGATCAAACGATACGATTTTTACGAGTCATTTGTCAATTTAAAGCCTGGAATAATACCTTGGAAATGAAGGAAGATAATGGAAAATTCACTCAGCCTAGGCATGAAAAAATTCTATAGATACAACTTCAATTTAATAAAATTTCATAGACTCTTATTTACTTTTTCTATTTCATATTTCCACTTTAGAATATCAATTTATTTATTATCACAATAAGCAATAATTATTGTTCATCTTTCTTCATTCATTAATTTATTTATTCATCTATAATTTAATGCAAAAATTGAACAAAAACCAATTAATTCACTGAGTTTTTATGAAAAATAAATGAACAAAATTAAAAAATCATAATTTAGGAGTAAAAATTGATCTCTTTCTCTGGATCTCAACTTTCAGCTGGACGCAAACTCCTAAAAATGACAATATCGAAGCCAGCGGAGGCGATGGAAGTGGAGGCATCGACATCAGATCCTGCCCCAGCAGAGGAGCCAGTGGAGAAAAAGGACACAGACCTCCAAACAATCCACGACCTCCGAGAACACACTCGTCAAATCGAGAAGGCAGTCCTGAACAAGGAGCCCCGATTCATCCTACGAGCCCTGCGAGCTCTTCCCAACACCCGTCGCAAATTAAATCCAATAGTCCTCCGAGGAGTGATCGGTGGTTTTTACACCAAGTCCTCATCAGACCGAGAGGCCCTGCTGTCGTGGGTTGAAGAACCCATGGACACAGAGGGAACCCAAGCAGCAATTCAACGTTTCAAGAGTTCAGCATCACCTCTCCTCCCCGAAATAGACGCCTACATCCACCTCCTGGTGCTGGTGCGCCTCATCGACACGAAAAAACACGATGAGGCAGTTCAATGTTCAGAGGCACTCGTCCAGAAAATAACAGCCACTAATCGCCGTACAATCGACCTGATAGCAGCAAAATGTTATTTCTATCACTCGAGGGCTTACGAACTCGTCGATCAGTTGAATAAAATTCGGGGTTTTCTCCATCTTCGATTGAGAACTGCAACACTGAGGAATGATTTTGAAGGCCAAGCTGTTCTCATCAATTGCCTCTTGAGGAATTATCTTCATTACAATCTCTACGATCAGGCCGACAAACTCGTTCTTAAGTCGACGTTTCCAGAGTCAGCGAGCAACAACGAGTGGGCGAGATTTCTCTATTATCTGGGGAGAATCAAGGCAGCCAGGCTGGAGTATTCAGCAGCCCACAAGCACCTTGTGCAGGCAATGAGAAAAGCACCGCAGACAACAGCTGTGGGATTTAGGCAGACTGTTCAAAAATTAGCTGTCACTGTTGAACTTCTTCTTGGAGATATTCCTGAGAGGCAGATATTCAGGCAGGCAGCTGTCAGGAGGGCCCTGGCCCCTTATTTCCAGCTCACTCAGGCTGTTAGACTGGGAAATCTTCACAGGTTTGGGGAAGTCCTGGAAAACTTTGGGCCTCAATTCAGGGCTGATCACACGTTTACTCTGATTCTCAGGCTCAGGCATAATGTCATTAAAACTGCCATTCGATCCATTGGCCTCTCCTACTCAAGGATATCACCTGGGGATATTGCCAGGAAGCTGGGGCTTGATTCTGGTGTTGATGCTGAATTTATCGTGGCTAAGGCCATCAGGGATGGCGTCATCGAAGCGACTCTTGATCCTGAGAATGGATACATGAGGAGCAAGGAGACAACTGATATTTACTGCACTAGGGAACCTCTTCTTGCTTTTCACCAGAGGATCACTTTTTGCTTGGATCTTCATAATCAGAGTGTCAAGGCTATGCGGTATCCTCCCAAATCTTATGGCAAGGATTTAGAATCAGCTGAGGAGCGCAGGGAGAGGGAACAGCAGGACCTGGAGCTCGCTAAGGAGATGGCTGAGGAGGATGATGATGGATTCCCTTGAATTATCTTTGATTTGTGTCCTTTTTATTGATTTATTTTGGTTTTCTTCATTGATATTTGATATCTTCATTATCTTGTATCTCATTTCGTAGATTGCAATAAAGATAAAATTAATTCAATCTATTCAATTATTAAATTGGTTTTATTGCTAATTCCTTCTTCTATATTCGATCATTTTATTCGAATAATTTAATTGATTATTCAAATTCCTTTCAACAGTTCAGAGTGATTTTGGTAAATTATGAAGGGAAAAAAATGCAATCAACTCATTAATTAAATTATTAGTTTTACTGTAATAACTGTTTATTATTGTATGATAAAAATATTCCTGTGAAGTAGATTACAGGCTTTTCTCATCGATTACTACTAATCACGAATCATCTCTCTTTCACCTCTAATTATTAAATTTTTCATTTTACTAATTAACCCATTAATCAACTCTTTGCGTCCCTCAAACCTTATAAAATAATGTCTGAATACCCAAAAATTGAGATCAAAATCGTTAAATCTGTGAATTGATGTCCTTAAGCGATCGTCTGGTGGTGATAGGAGTGTCCCCCCCAAGTGATCTTCTGTGGACAGGTCCTGGAGGAACAGTAACTGGCGAAACTCTCGCCCTAGATTCCTGGAGGTCGTCACGGGGATCATCTCTTGCCTCCAGTTCGTCAAAATTTTCTATTATAGGAGGACAAGTCAGAGGCATCCTGGGCTGTGATATTGCTTCATGTCTCACCACCTGACTAAGAGAATTCCTAGCGACTTTTAGGTTTCTCACTGCCATTTTAGCCTTCTCGACCTCCTCAATCTTCGGATGTGCAGCATAAATTCCTTTGATATCCACAGGAATACTTTTAGTTCCATTGAAAGTCTTGAAAATTCCAATCAATGTGTCAGCTAGCTCAAACATCTCAGACCTGAGACTAATAACAATAAACTGGGCATTTTTGGTTCGATCCTTAATGTATCGTCCAACGATGGATACATTTTTAAAATCAAGTGCAGCATCGATCTCATCCATGAAGTACAGGGGAGTTGGTTTGTAATGATGAAGAGCAAAGACAAGAGCTAAAGAACTGAGGGTCTTCTCTCCACCACTGAGATTGCTGATATTCTTCCAGGACTTTCTAGGTGGTCTCACACTGAAAGTGATACCCTCAGTGAAGGGATCGAGTGAATCAACGAGTTCTAGCTCAGCAGCACCCCCGAGAGTGATCATCTGATACATTTCCTTCAATTTAGTTGTGATAACATTGAATCCAGCATGAAATTCCTCAGCCCTTCTCTTCCTGGCCTCGTCATAAGCACTCCTCATTTTATTCCTGACATCAGTGGCCTCGTGGACCTCAGCAGACCTCTTCATGAACACCTTGTCCTTCTCCAAATAATCCTTGATCGTCTGCATATTGGGAGTTTCCTGGGGGAGTTTCTCCTGTGCGGCTGCCAGATTATTAGCAACAGTACGAGTATCAAAATTTGAAATCTGCTCGTCAGTGTAATCCGGCAGCTCCTCCTGAGGCTCATCAGGAATATCTGTGAGCTTCAATCCTTTTATTCCTCTCTCGTACTTGGCGACCTTGAGCCTCAGCTCAGCAATAACATTTTCACTGGCCTTGAATTTCTCATCAAGATCGATTTTCGTGGCTTTCATTTTATTCTCTCGATCCTGAAGCTTGTGTATATCGCCCTTGAGAGAAGCTGCAGCAGCGTCTCGCTCCACCAGAGCTGTATCATGAACCTTGATCTCCTCCAGGATGGTTTTCGCCTCCTCCTCGCACTCGTGAATCTCCTGATGAATCTCCGTTAACCGCCCCTGACAGATCTGAATGTCAGCCTCGAGCTGTTCGATCCTCTGGCTCGTTTTCCGAGAGTCTCTCTCAGACGTTTTTATCCCTACCTGGAGTCTGCAGATCTCCTTCCTGGCTTTATCAATTCCCTTGGATAGATCTGATATCTTCTTCTGCTGCTCTTTAACTTTTCCCCCAGACAACTCCTCAATCTCATCATTAATCTCCTTCACAGCTCTATCAGTAGACTCTGACTCCTTCTTCGTCTTCTCTAGCTTCTCCCTGGACCTCTCGACAGCCTCAGCCAACTCCTCCACCCTCTCAGCACTGGATTTCGATTCAATCACCTTCTTCTCCTGCGCCTTCACCTGCTGCTTGAGGGATGGCGCTTGCTCCTGAATGGTCTGTGCCTCAATCTCAAATTTATCTCTGTTTAGTATCATCTCCTCGAGTGCCGACGACAGCACTCTGATCTGCTCCTCCAATGGTGGCTGTTTCATCCTGAGTCTATTGCACTCCTCGTAGATACTCTCAAGATCACCCTGAAGTCTCTCAATGTCAGCACCTGATGGCTCATTCCTCATAACTCTCTGGCCAATTCGCCCCTTCGATGGCCTTCCACCTCCACTCATCGTTCCAGATGTCTCAATAAGTTGTCCCTGAACAGTGACAACTCTCCAGCGTTGAGCCCCATAAGCAATCCTCGAGCCCTGCTCCAGGTCCACAGCGAGAAGAGTATTCCTGAGACCAAAGTAAAAAGCTGGTAGAATCCTCTGGTCCTCCACTTTAATCACATCGAACAGTCGGACAACATTCTCTGGCGTTTTCACAGGCTCCTGGTAAATCTCCACCAGGTGCTGCTGCTTCTCAAGGGGAATGAAATTGGCACGACCCACGTTGTGACGTCGAAGAAGCTCAATGCACTCCTGGGCCGTGTCCACAGTGTCCACGACTATGTGATCAAGGGTTCCGCATGCTGTAGAAACAGCAATATCGTATTTAGCATCTACAGCACCTAGATCTCCAAGTCTTCCAATGACACCAGCAAGCTTTCCTTCGCGTTTCTGCTGCATCAGAAAATCGAGGACTGCACTGCGTGACTTTGAGGCATTCATTGCTGACCTCTGCTCCTCGAACTGGAGCCTCATGCGTTTTAAATTAGTGGCAGCCTCGAGTTCCTGGGCCTTGGCCTCTGCCAGATCTCTCCTAGCATCGTTCAGGCTCTTCTCAGTCTTAGGGATTTTCTTTTTGAGCGTCTCCAACTGCTCCCTACGATCCTTGAGGGTCTCCGCTGCCCTCTGGAGTGTCTCCTTGAGTCTCTCGAGCTTCTCCCTCTCTTTCACCTCAACAGAGGTGTAAATCTCCAGCTCAGACTGCGCCAGGTCGAATATACCCTTGGCCTCGTTGACGTTCTTCTTGTAGACGATGAGCTTTTTTTCCATCTCTGCTCGTCTCTTCATCAGGGGCTCAGTTTTCTCCTTGAGTGATCCCATCAGCACCTGTAGCTGCTCCTCCTCCTTCTCCTTTTTGGTGATGTGTCTCTGAATGAGAGTCTCACACTCTTCAATTTCCTCTGCATTCTTCTCTGGTATTCTTGACAGATTCTCTAGATTCATCTGCTCTGTTTTCACAGATTGCATATTTAATTTTCTCCTCTTATTGGTCTCCAGTGCCTCGGCGTGCAGTGCCTCGTCCTTTTTCCTGATCTCCTCGAATCTCCCAGATGCTGCGTCTCGTTTCAGCTGAATCGCGTCCCATTTCTTAGACTTCTCCTTCAATTCCCTCGATTTTTCCTCTTTATCCTCGTGGACTCGTGACATCTCGCTCTTCAAATCCTTCAGATCCTTTCCCAGGCCCTCATGGAACTCCTCTTTCTCCTTAATTTCTCCCATGGTATCAACTCTCTTGCAGTGATACAACTTGTGCTGCAGCTTTGTTATTGCATTCTCGATCTTCAAATAAGCCACAGCCTCCTGCATCGGCTCCTTCAGAGTGTCCCTCTCCTTCTCCGCCATCCTCAAGCGATTCGTCCTCTCCACCACTCGTTCTGAAAGAATTTCTACTTTTGTTGCGAGTTTTTCCAGTGGTTGTTTGTATCTAGTGGTGCCAATGATGTCCTCCAAGAATTCGAGCATTCCAGTATCAGTATCTGACTGTCCCTTCGGCTTCATCAGGGCGATCTGCTCGACCTCCCCCTGGAGTATCAGAAAACGATTGTGATCGAGGTCGACTCCCTCGTGCCTTAGGAGCTTAGCTATTTCCTTGAATTGCACTTTTCGACCATTCAATTCGTAATAAGACGAGCTATCCTTGAAGGCTGTTCTTGATATGATTATCTCACTCCCCGGGATCTCCTCGTACTCCTCGTTCGGCTTGTCCAGGACCTTTCGAAAGTACACGGAGACTGTGCAGCTGGTGCAGTTTGGGTGTTCGTTGGAGGAGTGAATCATGGATGAAACCTTTTTCGAACGAATTTTTGTTGCTCGATAACCAAAAACGAAGAGCATCGAGTCGATGACGTTGCTTTTGCCACTGCCATTGGGACCGACTATCGATGAGAAGCACGTGTTGAAGGGGCCTATGTCCACGGTACCGGCGTAGCTCTTGAAGTCTCGATTTGTTATTTTGGAGATTATCAAACGAGGATCGCTGCTGTTATGCTCTGTCAGCTTTTGAGGGGGTGGAGGGATGTAGATGTCTTCGTCAATGCGCACTCCACCTTCCTCGTCAGAGTCGTAGTGATTTTCGTCAATTTCCATCGGTGAGACGTCCGCCGGGCTCGGCATCCTGGGCAAATTAATACAATTCACAATATATTTTTTGAGTTCGGATAGTTTTCCAGGGATATCTCCGAATCTAGAGGAAATACTGCAATTTTTTAAAGAACCCTTTTTTGTAGGGTTTTTTCTACTCGACCAATGAAGTGATGAAGAAAATTTTGATATTTTGCTTGGATTCAGAGATAATCCTTGGGAACTTTTTTACTTTTTATGGAAAGAATTGAAGAGCTGTTCTCTGGGCGAGATTTCGAGGAATATCTCGGGACTTGACAGAGATGGTGAATTGTTTTTACATAAACTTTTTGGTAGAGCTCATTGTGCTGTACAAGTAAAGACCTGAGAAAATTGAGCTATCTTCTTTATGCCTAGAGACATTCCTCGAAAACTTGAGTAGGGAATAAGTACACTCGTTACCTTCAACTCTTTGAAAGTCAATCGTTTCTCCTGTTCCAACGAATGGATTTTAAAAAATCACTTCTCGTTTTTTTTCCCCGGAAAAATATCTTCAAACAAAAAAAAAATCAGCAAATTCCACTCCGCGGTTGTCAGTCTACTCCAAGAACCTTTTAACTATACCATTAAAATTCCCTCTATCCTTTTCCCCATTCCCTCACCAAAAAAAAACCACAAGGCGACGAAATAACCGATTTCATAAAAATCCCGGAGAGAAAGGGATTGCAATAGCGAGTAATTAATCCCCAAAGCCCTCATTAATAAAAATTCCCATTGAATTCCACACGACTCTTTAAACATTGAGGTTATTCCCACTTACTAGCAATCAAATGCCCCCATTCCCAACAATTAACGTCTAAAACCTTGACCTTGAGCTTTCCAGGTCCAGGATGACCCCCGGGACGTGAATTTTTTTCTCTCGAATAACAGATGAAAGGAATGCCGCACAATTACCTGCTTTTTTCCGTTTTTTTTCAACCGTCAAATTCAAAACGTAAACATTCTTTTGTGCGCAGGCGATCTGCGCACACCTCCCCCCCACTTTCGAGAGGCGGTATAACTGTATTTTTCAGCAGAAACTTCACCACTGAATTCTCCAAACGCCCTGGAACTTCTCTCCAGTGATTATTCCTCCTTTTCTCTAAAATATTTCCCTCTTTTGCATAAAAAAAAAACAGTGGAGGGTCTCTTGAAATGGCGGGAATTTTATAAATTGAGTTTTACGATATTTTTCACCCTGGAGTTTGACACGTCATCGGGGGACTAGTGCAGAGACGGGAGATCATTGCGAAAGGATATGGAATTCTCTGGGGAGACCATAAATGCCGTGCGATGATCTATGGAGAAATTCTTAGATCTGGGTAGATCATGTGCGTATTGTCCCAGAATTTGTGAGTGATTATTCCATTTTTTATGCTCTGCCCAAAACTTGGGATAATTCATGTCATTACGATTTTTGAGACATTCCGAGAAAAGTACAATTGCGATTTCAAGTGAAAAAACCTCAAGTTTCAGAGAATTTATTAATTATTTAAATTTTCTAAATGAATGGGAAATTGAATTCACATTCATATAATTATTATTGTTTGATAATTAATTGGGGGTTCACGTGATAGTGTCATAAAGTTTATGAAATTATAAAAATTAATGATCATAATAATTAATAACTAAGTATCAATCATTAATTATTATTATTATTGTTATTATACTTCAAGTGGGAAAGCCAAAGAGTTAATTAATTATTTAAATATTTAATAATAATACAATAGAAAGGGAAATGGAGAATGTTTTTCTAACGAGATTATAATGAAACTCTCATAATTGTTGTTGCTTGAATTAGTTAAAAATTCCCATGATAGGGTGACACAATTTTTTGGAAATGGATTAAAAGAGATACTTTTATATTTGAATATCAATTAAATTAGTGGTAGGAAAATATTGACAATGCAATTAGAGTTGTGAGTTTTAAACTTGAAGAACTCTTCGCAAAGTTTCATGCAATTACGCAATTTCAGGAGAAAATGATCTTCACCCACGTGATGACCTGACCCAGAGACCGAAGCCTGATAACAATTAAATGAGGGACTGATGTAATTGTGAGGGAATGATGGAATATTCGTAGATCATTGCTGAAGGGACAAGTGGTGACACCGAAATTTCGAAAGGTCAGTTTTCATCAAAATCACTCGGAATACCCGATGAAATAAATACGTCCGTCATTACAAGTAATTTAATAAAATATTCATAATTTCAATGAAATTCAAGGACAAGGGGACTAAATTGAATAATTCAATATGGATTTCCTCAAAACCTATTGATTGTACGAGAAAATATCAAAAGATCTTTTTTATGGAAAATTTCATTAGCTAAAAAAAAGTTTTCTGCCACTTTCTCCTAAAATTGATAATTTCCGAGATGAACCCACGATTACAAAAACGTTAGTCGATTTATGAAATTTTGTTACTGAGAAAGAATAATTCTCGATTCTTTTGAAGAAAATAAAATGTCACCTTAATCTTATACTAGTCTAGTGTTTCCTTGGTCCTTGAAGACCATAAATTAGTATTTATTGGGGAGAAAAGTGAGATGGAAAACTGGGAATTGAGAGAATTGATAGAATTAAAGGAATAAATAAACGTTTTAGACAAAAAACACTGGAAAAATGTGGCCCCGAGTGAGAAAAGTCTTTCGAGTGTGGCCCCTGGCTCTCTCAACGATTTTTATTATCTGTATGGTGCTGATATGGTCTCACAGACAGCGGGGCAACGAGTACGGCGAGGACTACGTGTCGTTAAAGTGAGTTGATTTCCAGCCTCGCACCGACTGTTGTTCTGTTTACAGTTACGGTAGGATAATGACACTGGAAATTCTCTTGGTGCAAGTGGCATACCATCGGTTCATACCTTGCCCCAGGCCGTGACGAATGACCTCGAAGAGAATTGAGATATTTAGGAGATAATCGGAAGCCTGCGCATAATTCTTTATCAAATTTTCCCTAGTAATTCTACTTAAAAGGATGTAAAAATTATCTTTTTCAGGCTGTTGGATGATCAGAAGGATTACATTGATCGAAGGGGAATTCACGTGGTTGTTGGGCACTACATTGGAGATTCCGTGGATCCTTTGAAGAGTCCAAACGTCACGAAAGGTGAATTCCTATTAGAATCTCTGGAATCAGTCTTAGAAATAATTTTAAATTGATTCCCTCGATTTGGAGAACTGTCAGAAATATTGTATAGAATGATTCTTATTAGTTATTTATCTTATTGTGTTCCAGAAATTGTAAATAAAAATATGTTCAGCCCAAAACCATTTAATGGAAAGAACGGAGAACCCGTTCTCATCTCACCAAAGGATTTCATTATCATGCAACAGCTCTTCCAGATCAATAGATTCAATTTAATGGCTAGCGATCGAATCCCCTTGAATCGGAGTCTCCCAGACGTCAGAAAGAAGAAGTAAAATAATCATCAATCCATTCAAATCCATTCATTTATTTTTTCTCCTCATTCGAAAATTAAAATTAAAATGTGTCATGATAAGATTTGACAGTTACTTGATTATGATAATTATCATGTTTTCCTTTTTAGTTTTGTAAAAAATTTTCTGAATTCTCAATGAATTAGATCATTATCGTTTGTCCTTAGGTGCACAATCAGGTACTCGAACCTGTCAGGACTCCCCAAGACTTCTGTAATAATCGTATTCCATAACGAGGCTTGGAGCACTCTTTTAAGGACAGTCCACAGCGTGATATCAAGGTCTCCTGCCAATTTATTGACAGAAATTCTCCTGGTTGACGACAACAGCGATCGAGGTACATTAAATTCCCTAAACTTTCCTTTTCTTGTGAAAACTGAATCTAGTCTATTGAAGTTCAAGAGAAAATCCGCAGTTTTGTCAAGATATATTCATATTTCACATTGAACATTTCTAGAAAATTATATAAAATCGATAGAATGTTGAACGAACAAAAATAAGAGAAAATTCAATAGAATCTCTCGATTTTTACGAGCACCTGTTGGTTAGAGAAATATCTAAATGTTTTTATTGTCTGTAGAATTTTTGAAACAGCCTCTGGACGATTACGTGAAAACTCTGGATGTACCAACTAGGGTTTTACGATCGGAGAAACGAGTGGGCCTCATAAACGCTCGTCTACTGGGAGCGAGAGAGGCTGCTGGGGAGGTGCTCACATTCCTCGATGCACACTGCGAATGCACGGTTGGTAGGTAAGCTATGTCAACAATGAAATGTTGATTGGAGATTTCTTGAGGTCTCGGTGGGGGTTTTAATTGTTATCTGTTTAGGATGGCTCGAGCCACTTCTTGAGGCCATTTCCAAGGATAGGACGAGGGTTGTATCGCCTGTCATTGATATTATCAATGACAATACGTTTGCATATACCAGGTGAGACTATTAGACACAAATTACAGCCTGAAATAATGAATTAACAATTTAAATTAGAGTTTTCTTTCAATTCTTATCTGTTGTATTAAAATCCACGGATTAAATTATCTATATCAAATTGTTTGAGAGTAAACAAACATCTTTTATTATGAAATCTCAATTTTTTTTATACTTTTGAAATAAAATAAATATTTATTTATTTGTATTGAATTTTTTTTGTTGATTCTAATCACAAGAAAAAGATTTGTGTATATTTTCAAATTATATTTCAAGTTTTCCCAAAAAAAAATGATTTCCAATTATTTCTGTTAATAATTGATGGAATTTTGAATTTTTATTTAATTAATTAACGATTGATTAAAATTATTCACAATTATTTCTCTTGCCATTAAAAATTCCAAAACAAATTCAAAGGATATTCTTAAAGTCTGTGTTGTTCAATTAATCCTTTAGTTTCTAATTTTTCAATAATTAAAACAATAAATAAAAATAAAAAGAATATCTCGAGCTGAATGTGAGTTATGACTGTTGAAGATCGTTCGAGCTACACTGGGGGGCATTCAATTGGGATCTCCACTTCCGGTGGTTGACCCTGAGTGGCCCACTGATGAGGGAACGACGTGAGAACATCGTTGACCCCTTCAAGACCCCAGCAATGGCCGGTGGATTATTTTCGATGGACAAAAATTATTTCTTTGAACTTGGCAGTTATGACGACCAAATGAAAATATGGGGTGGAGAGAATCTCGAGCTCTCGTTTCGCGTTTGGCAGTGCGGTGGGAGTGTTGAAATAGCACCTTGTTCACACGTCGGTCATCTCTTCAGGAAGTCATCGCCTTATACCTTTCCGGGTGGAGTCGGAGAAATTCTTTATGGCAATCTTGCCAGAGTTGCACTTGTCTGGATGGACGAGTGGGCGGAATTTTATTTTAAATTCAATCCTGGTAATTACAATTATTTATTTTTGTTCAGACTTCTATTCAAATCTCTAATTTATTTCTTTTCCACACTTTTCCGCTCTAATTTTCTGTTTTTTTTTTCATTTATTTATCTGGTAAATTCAATTTTAGTTGAGTTTTTACTCATTTCTATTCGAACGTCCATTCATTATTGATTTTCAATTCATTGCAATGATTTTTGCAACTCAGTTTTGCTCGCCCGATTTATTTATCTGTTAAGTCAAATCGTAGGAACTACATTTACTAATTCCCTGTTAATTTCCATTAATTTGATTTGTTATTCTTGTCATTAATTGATTTTGAATTTAATAATTGGTCCCCTCAATTTTTATCTCACTTCTTTCATTTCAAAACTGAATAAAGAGTAGAAGAATTCTTTATAATGACAAGAAATGATTCTCCCAGTGCAAAATTCATTATTTACAATTCCCAAATTTCCAAAGAACTAACACCCTTCCTCAATTATTAATTCTAATTAATAATTGCACATTTCATTTTTCCAATTGAGTTATCTCTTCAATAATAATTATACTATATAATATATAATAATAAACTAATATATACTAATATATACTAATATATACTAATATAAACTAATATATAATAATAAACTAATAATTTATTTCATTCTCCTTATATTTATAATCCCATAATCTCTAAAGCATCAACCTATTTTCCAAATTCAAAAGTAACTTTTAACTAAATCAAAAAAATTTCTACAATACCCAAACATAAAAAAACGCATAACTTTTATTTAAATTTTCCAGAAGCAGCAAGACTTCGCGATAAACAGCAAATTCGATCTCGATTGGAGTTACGTAAGGAGTTGAAATGCAAGAATTTCGAGTGGTACTTAGATAACGTGTGGCCCGATCATTTTTTCCCGAAAGACGATCGTTTCTTCGGACGAATAATGCACATCCCATCAGAGAAATGCATTATGAAACCAATAGCAAAAGGTATATACGCCCAACCTGCGGGCTACGCTGCATACGAGCCTTGCATGAAACCTCCCAATCTCAGTCAGATGTTCGTAATGACTAAATCGGGGATCATAATGACGGACGAGAGCCTCTGCATGGATGCACCAGAGCGAGATACCAGACACGAGAGGCCGAAGGTGAAGATTATGGCGTGCAGTGGACTATTCAGGCAAAAGTGGAGTTACGACCAACAGGTGAGATCATCCTCACAACATTATTCCCCCATTTTCCATGATTTTCCTTGTGAGAAAACATTTCTGTTTCCAATTTTCTAGTCTCTAGTCACAAGTAGATTTGATAAATACATAGTTTTGTAGATATATCGCGGAATCTACGGTAGATACGACAATTTTTCTCATGACCTTTTCTGTAGAGGGGAATGACATCCACAAAAAAGGTCATTACCATGATTTTGGCATTTCTCTTAGATTCAGAGATATCCCGAGTGACAGGTGGATCTAGGTGATAAGTAGATTTTTAGAAATATCTCTGAATCTGCGATAGATGCAGTAAATTTGTATGGGACTTTTTTTTAGATCTAAATGAGATCTACCAAAAAGATGATTATGAAAATTTTGCTATGGTTCGCGGGTTGAGAGATATCCGTCGAAAACTAACGTGTTGGCTCAATCTACTTGTTGTTTGATGATGCAGGACTATTTGTTATAAATAATTTTGTTTTATTTAATTTATGAATAGACTAAAGCGGTCGTCCACACAAGCACTGGAATGTGCCTTCACATAGACCCGGAGGGTTCAGAAGGCCCTGTAATTGCCTTCTGCAGTGGAAACATCGAGCAGCAGTGGAAATTGGAGCCCATACCCTGGAAATAACAATCGATCTTACGAGCATTATTTTTCACACGTGTAAATACTCACTTCACTTACATTGAATAACGCCATGAGGTCAGGACTTCAGGGCGAGGCGCATTATTTACTCCGACATGAATAAATATTTTAATTTTTTATAAAAAAAACGATCTGCAGACTCGTCCTGATACTCTTGAGTTGTTAAATTAATTGCATAAGTTTTGTATACATTGAATAAAAGACATTTTTCCATTGGATTTTTAGTTATGTTTAATTACATGTCATTATACTTAATTACTCATTAATTTACCGGAGATGGAGGTCGTCAATAAATTATTAATCGAATAAAATTTATCATTTTTCAATTACTTTACATTTTTGAGGGTTCAAATAATATTATTATTCAACTATTTTCATTTAAATCAATTAAGGAATAATCAGAATTCTTCGGAACTAAAACAACCATTAATGGCACAGCTGCCTATTTTAATTTTCATGTAAAATTCGCCTAGATAGGATAAACAAATTACACAAGCTCCAAAAAATTCCACCAACATTGTACAATAATTACGAATAACAAATAAAAATTGTTCAAACGTGATAATAAGATTGATGAGAGAATTCCTGGAAGCCACAGCTGTAAATCTTCCATCAGGTAAACGAGAAAAAAAAATCAGATGTGCCAGATCGGGCGATTAAAATTCTCCAGAAGTAAAACAATGATTAATGACAGTAAAACCATAACTTACGAGCGACGAAGTAATCGAGCGATTGATTTCATTCGAGTGGTGAAATAATCAGTCTCCCGAGCGCATCATTAATGATTCATCGACGTGGGTGTTCATCTCTCAATATCAAATCGATTGGCAACAGGTGATTCAATTTTCCAGTCTTCCTGACTCATTATCGTCGATGTAGCACTGGTCATATGACAAAGAGACTCATCAGTCCAAACTCGTATCTTCCATATTAGCACTGGATAAAAAAAAAATGTTGGCATCATTATCAGTACTTCACCTTGCTTAATATCGAGAAGAGTCTTGGGGCCTTGAGGCCCGTTCCTGTTGGGGGGGCAAAAAAGGCGATTAAACATTGCAGTTGGACTAATTCGGCAGTGCCTTAAACGAATTGACTGGCAATTGTTGGTGATTCATGTATCCGAGGTTGAAACTTCTGTCTCATCGTTTCACAAGGTTGAGAAAACCAGTTGTCTCTAATTTTCCAGTCCTCGTTAACGCAGATAACGTCTGTGTTCTCATTTGCCTATTTCAAGGAAAAAATATCATCGAACAATTCGTCATACAGAATTCATTCACGTGGCGATTGATCGATTATTTAATTGCACTTGCCTGAATTATCGGAAATGACAGGTGTAATTATTGTTAATATTTTTGTGAGCAGAAATTTTTTATGTGGAATTTTCACCGGATAATTGCTACTTTTATGAAGAATGGGAATAAGAATGGAATGCGTAATTATTGATTGAGTTAATTCAGTTTTCAATTAATTCTTGTTGTGAGTTAAAGTGAGAAAAATTTTATAATTTATTTTATTTGAGAAAAGAACAAGAATGAGGAATTTGTTTCAGAGGAAATTAATAGAGAAATTTAAAGAGATTATTCAATGAATTGGGGAGTAACTTATTAATCGTGATTGGATTATTAATTTATTGAATTATCTCATTTGTTTTTTGTTGAGACTAATGAGTGGATGAATTAAGAAATTATTGTAATAAAAATAGACTATCAATAAATGAATGGATGCATTGATTAGTTTGGTTGCAATAAAAATGAAGATTTAATGGAGAATTTATAAATTAGTCATTTGGTAAATTTTTATAATATTTAAATAATAAGCAACAGAATTGAAATATAAAGAACGTAAATTATAAATTCTATGCAATTAAATCCTTTTTCTGGCAATAAACAAAGATTACAAATAAAATTATTTAAATAATTAAAAATAAGAATTCTTCCTGTTCATTTGGATTCACAAAAATTAGAAATTAGTCTCTAGAAATGAAAATCATAAAAAAATTGTAAATTATTAATTCGATCCAATTAAATTTATTTTGATGTAATAGACAACAATTTTTTTATAGTCTGAGGGAATTTAAACAAATCGGGATTAATCCTCGAAATTAGAGGGACTTATCGATAGAAAAGAAGTTAATTATCAATTTGATCCAATTAAATTTTTCTTGCAATAAAAAAAAATTGAAAATTAAATTATTTTTATAATAAAAGTAAAAAAAAAACAATTTTTCGGGGTGTGAGGGACTGGCAAAAATTCGGACTTAATTCCAGAAACTAAAGCGTTTGAACCGGCAATAAAAACTTTTCCCAAGAAATTCCTCGTCCGTTATCCAGAAATGAACTCTGACTCGACTACCGGTTTTCTGCTTTAATATCCACCTCACCGAGACATTAAAAGTGTCAACTTGATAATTAAATGATAATGTGACACTTTTTTCTCTCAACATTGTTCCAATAGCGAGAAATGAGTGGAATATGAGTAGAATAGACCAAAACCAAGACTTTAACGATTAGAAAAGTGCAAGGGAAAATAAGGCAAACTCCACTAAAATAGTTAAACAGGTGATAAAAATGTTGATAGCTGAGAATTAAAGTAAAATTGCAGTGAAACTGAGGATAAAATGGCAATCTCCCTTTATTCCATGCGGTTGTTTTCTCAATGAGCAATTGCAATCGAGAGCAGAATAAATTCACCAGAAACACGAGCAATTCCCTTTAGCTGTTCTGCTGAGCACGTCTTAGGTGAATTGCATCTGATGTACGTGAAGGCGACACAGTTTGGAGGAATTTGGGTCAAAGTCATGTCCTTACTGAGGCCAAGAAAGCACAGAACCATCACCAGTGAATTCCCATCTTTCCCCGCCCTGCTTCAATTTTTTTCACCGTCCTTCATCCCAACTTTAGCACGTGATGAGAGGATTAATCTGCCACCGTCTTACTTTCAAATTCCCAGGATCACCTGGAAAAATCCTTGTTCCTCCTTACACTTTAATTAGTTTACACCAAAATCTTGCGAGAAATCCTATTTTCGCATTTTTTCGTTTTTCAAGAGAACGACATTTTCACTCCAGTTATTTCAGCAAAACACAGGGGAAGAGGTTTGGCTAATTTATTTACAAATTTCTCGTTGAAAATTAATAATTTAATAATTAAATTCAATGCACGGGAAAAATTTTTAGGGCGAGGCAGAAAAATCGTATTGGCAATTTCCAATTTCATTTAGTTATACGAAAACTGGCGAATCCCCATTTTGGAATTTTCAATTAAATAAATAAATGATAATTCAAATAAATTAAATAATTTATTGATTTAAGAGGAAATCTCTCAGGATAAAGTAGAAAAATCCTATTGGCAATTTCTAATTTAATTGAATTAAAATATTTAAAAAAAAGTAATGGTAAAAAATTGAATTTGATCGTTTGATTTTCATAAAATTCTAATTCCATCAAATTTTCCATGGAAATGACACATTTTTCTTTCTTTAAATTTGCATTTACAACCAATAAATATCTTTCTTTTATCAGAAATAAATGTATCACCAATATCTAATAACAATTTAACAATCATTTCAGAACTCGATAATTCATCCGAATTGAATGAAATTGTTGTCCTGAATTTACCAAAAAATAATCAAATCCTTTGACAAGCAAAATTTTTCAAATCAAAAATATTAATCTACAATTTGTAATCATTAATTTTTTTTATTGAAAATTAATTGGTTGATTTGTGTAATGATTATTCGGCTCCATGGAAGATTCAGCAGTTGGGAAAAGAGCGGAAATAAAAATTGGAGTGGAAAAATTGTTTATTGCAATTTATGACTGCATAATGGGGGTTTTTTTTTCGGGCTAAGTTGCTTTGTGATGAAATGGTGGAGCATCTTTACAGATAATTTGTCTACTTGGTCACGTCTTTGGTTGTTGTCCAGTGTTCCGGTTCTCACACACCTGTGACCCTCACTTGACCAAGAACTTGTCCTGTTCCCACATTAATTGCTCCCGAGAAATTGTTAAATCAGAACAACAGATTATCAACATGAATCCCGAAACCCCTGGAAAAACTACTCCGACTCAATCAAATCTGAATCAATTAAAAAATATTGATATTTTCAATTTTTTCAGCAACCTACACATGGACATTTAATTAATTCAAATAATAAAAGAGATATTTAAGATTTAATTATGTTTTTGCGAGGCAATTTCATCAGTTGTTCCTTAAAATGCGAATAGAAATGTTGAACAGACTGATTACTGATTAAATTTTATGAAATTCTTAGTCAATCATTTTTTTACAATCTCATTCAATTTTTTAATTGTGCATCTTAATGAAAATTGAGTTTAATCACCTGTAAATTATGTAGTAAATGAATTAATAAGTTAATTAATGTTTTGTTTTTCTGATTTAGATAAAAAATAGAACGTGGATTCGTATAAGCATAAATAAATAAACTGATCCATTTGCTAAAAACAAACTCAATTCTGCAATCAAAAGGGTGTGGATTTAAAGTGGAGCAGAATTAATTAATCTATGATTAATTAATTTATTGTCAAATTTCATCCAGTTCTTCAGCTCTAAAATCAGTTAAAATGTTGTAAGAATCTATTCAAACAAATGTATTACTTTATTTCAATTCTTTGTCTTCAATTAAACTCAGACTTTAATTTTGAGGAAATTAAATGGATAAACTAATCAATTAATCAATTGATGACTTAATGGATTCATTCCCCTATTTCAGTGAATCCTGTTATGAAATTTAATAAACCCTTATTTATCTTAAAACCTATGCAAACAAATTAATTGCTTTACTTGAATTATTCTTGTTTTACATAAAAAAAATATTTTCCTCAACAAAGCTAAATAAACTAATCCACTTGTCGAATGGAGAACAAAAAAAAAGTAACTGAATTATTAAAAAAACGATGTGGAGTCGTTGAGGAGTGGAAGGCGGAGTCCACAAAAAAAATGCCAAACTAAATAAACAAATAAAAAGAAAAAAAAAACAAACCACCTGACGATGGCGAGAGGTGAAAGCAGCCTCTCCTCAGGTTTTTCTCGACGTATTTCTTATCCTCTTTCCCCAAGATCGTGCCAGCATCATCATCAAGGTTGAAATAAAGAAAAAAAAAGTACAAAATTAAGGACAAAGAAATGACTCGGGATATTCAACGAATAAATTCTCTTGTTTTCATTATTTAAAATATTACAGTATTGACAATATATACAGTCACCACTAGACTAAACTAGAAGCTTAATCAATCGATTGACCAATAATGATCAATAGCATGGGCACTTGCAGCGATTCAAAGAGCATTGAGTATCATTTTGGTCCCGTTATTTATTATTCCATCTACCTACAGTCATTAATCAAATTGATGCTTTATTAATAATCAGAGACTTTAGGGGAAAATAATTGGAGATTTTTAAGACTAAACTATAGTTGGATAATTTATGCAATTAACATTTTTCTTATTTACGTATAAATCGGTAACCTTGAAAAAATCACAATCGTAGTACAAACTAATTCAGCAATACGAGTCGGTTCAACGCGCTAATCATAAAACAGTAATTAATCTACAACAGGTATTGATTATCGTATAAAAATTATATTCTGGGGTCAACCCAATTGTCGTTTGGTCTCGAATAAACAAAATTCATACTGTACATTTGAGATTTCTTACGTCCGCGAAAATACAATTATACTAGGAAAATTCTTCGTGACAATTGTTTTTTTTTATATTATTATAATAAACTGATAAGTGATAAGTGGAGAGAAATAAGATTTTTTCTATTGCAGAAATTAGTTAAGTTAATTATCAGAATTCCATCCAATTAATAATTAATTAATTTAATTATTTTTCAGGGCTGAACCCCAGATACATTTACTAATTTGCAATTAATTAAAATTGAAATTCGGATAATTTTCTCATTAAGAAATCAAATGAATTGATAAATTCTCATATTTCCTTTGAAATTTATTAAAGTTCGACAAAAAACCACGGGAAAAACGAATTAAACAACGACATAACCATGATAATTCCCCAATTACCAATTATTCAATTACTGAATACTAATTTTTTTTTTTCAATAATTGCCAGATTAAAAAATCTTTCCACTCTCCTCAAATCACAAATTGTCACTGTTATCAACAATAACAGAACATAAGTATTGCTTTCCCAGGTATTGCAATATTAAAAACAATAACTTTATTCCAATAAACAAACAACAAGATAATCCGATAATTGAAGGGCAAATTCGTGTACATGTGTGCCAAGTAAATGAGTTCGAATAATTTTTTAAAATCTCAGTGTGAAAGAAAGTGAAACGACTTTGGTGATCAGCCTTGCGGCTTCGATTTCGAAAGTCGAGACACTCCCAATCGAATCGATATGGATGCATCGAGTCAAGTTCAATTGTATTTTTACTCGTTATTCCCTTATTCATTTAACTCGACATTCTCTTTCGGTGGGTTTAACTTTTTTATATCTCCATTGCACAAGAACATAATAAAGAGTATGAAATATATAACGACGATGTATCCCCAAAATCGTGGGGTTATATTATTTTGTTCATGTATTTTCATTATTTATTTTCATTTTTTTTATGTACAACGACAAATAATACACTCGGAGAAACTCCAATTAATTACCTAAATTGAGCCTCGAAGTCTACTCTGATATAATACCGTAAAATATATACGTCTATTCATATATTAACTTCGTTTATATATTATCTATGTATATTCTATCGTTATGTACAAATTGTAAGTACGAAAAAATTTGTGAATGAGTCGTCAAGTGGTAGAGAATATTTGCTTGGGGTATATCTCTCGATGTAAGGTAGATAGAGAAATTTTGTATATGAGCTTTTTCGTAGAGCACATCGTGAGCTACAGAAACGGTTATTATAATATTTTAGCTAGCTCTTTTGGATTTGGAGATATTTCTAGAAAACTTGTGTATTAACTGAATCGATTTAAATGGTAAACCTTTATCATTTATAACAGAATTATTTATGCAGTTGTTTCTTTGATTTTCTCAGCTCTATTTTGAATGGGACTGTAAATAAATTTCTAGAGCAAATCTATTTTTTTATAGGAATTTATTGATTTTCATTTATGTAGATTACCGATTATTATCGATTATCGAGTTATCTCAGAAGCCGTCGATCTAAGACAGAGACGCTAAAGGACTTTTTTGTAGCCCATGGAATTGCCAAGAAAAAAGGTCTTTTGATATTTTCTTCTAAAACTGAAAGTTTTTGAATTAATCGATCTCAACAACAATTGGAATTGCATTTATCCTAATTCAGTTGTTCTTACAATTTTTTAAATCACCGATTCATCATGAAAACTATCTATTTTAGGTAAAAACCGTAAAAGACTTTTCTCTAGTCAATTAAATTGCTTAGAAAAAAGTCCTTTTGGTATTTTCTTCTAAAACCAAAAGTTTTTGAATTAATCGATATAGACAACAATTGGAATTGCATTTATCCTAATTCAGTTGTTCTTACAATTTTTAAAATCACCGATTCATCACGAAAACTATCAATTTTAGGTAAAAACAGTAAAGGACTTTTCTCTAGTCCATTAAAATGCCAAGAAAAAAGATCTTTTGGTATTTTCTTCTAAAGCTTTCAGTTCGGCAGATAAATGGGCATTTAAAATCCCGACAAACCGCGAAATAGGGCAGACGCGTAAGAGAAATTCGGAAAAAAATCCAGTGAAATGTGAGCAAACGATATTTATTCCAGAATGAAAATACCCCGGACTACGAGCTGATCGAAACGTGATAAAAATTCATGTATAGGCGAAATAGCGATTTGGGTGAAACAAAAAGTGAAAGATGATGTCCGCGAGAGGATGTTTTTCATCGCGAAAATTGATTAATAACTCTGGGAAAAATTGATGTTTCAGCTTTAATGATGTCTGCATAAAGGCAATTCACTCTGGGAGAGTTGAGGTGATGAATTAACCCCCAGAACCACCAAAGTATCAATCAACATGTGTCGTATAACACTCGTCTCTCGTTTATTGCGTTTCACTTTCCCGAGATGAGTTTGGGATGCTGGGGCGTGGCATCTGTAACGCAAGACCGAGACCGAAACTTTCAAATGCCGAGGAGCAGAAAAAAAAAAAATTTTCCGCAATTCACCAGCGAAATTGCAGAATTTTGCGGAATTTTTCCGCGAAAGTATATAAATAATATATATATGTATATATGTAATTGTGTGAATGGATATTTAAGAAGTAAATAATAAGGGCCGGTTTAAAATAATTTTTTGAAAGTATTTTCGAAATATCCATTTAAAAAAAAAATTTGAATTCGTCCTTCTAGAAATTCTGGATTTTTTTCAATTTTTGCGGAAAATGGAATTTTATTTTCTTGTTCATTTTATGTAGTGAATAACGGTCTAGATTTTGTTTACAATTGGGAAATCCTTTTCGAAAAATGCTAGTAGAAAGGAATAATGAGAAATCAAAGATCTGCGGAACGTAGATATTCATAAATAATTGGGGAAAGTAAAATCACTAATTCCGCAATTAATAGAAGCAAATCTGAAAAGAGTGAAAAATTAAAGCGAAGAATTGGATAAAAATTTGAGAAACCATCGATTTCTCATAAATAAAATGCAAAAGGTGCAATTTCCCGTGTAACCAGGGGTTTTACAATTTTTATTTTTGAATAAAATATATATATATATAATTTTTAAATAATCCCGAAAAAAAGAAGGCAAGAAAATAGCGAAAAATCCGAATTAGAGAAGACAAAATAAATATTCAAAAAATATATCCTTGCAAAAATGGAAAAAAAAAATATTAAAAAATGGGAGCAAAAATATCAAATAACGGTGTAAAAAACTCGCAAAATCGTTTGTTATTTATCATAAATAAAATGCAGATAGCTCGAAGATTGTGGAGTGGTCCCCTGTCAGTTAGAAAGTTTGAGATTGAGAAGTTTGAGAAGAGAAGGGTTGGTACAGGGGAAAAATAAGTCGGATACACACGCGCTCCGATTAAATCGTCGTAGAGAGTTTATACTTGGCTGTGGAGGCCATATCACTTGGAAATATAGCTGTGCATAAAGTTGCAACTGGAGGAAATGCAGAGATTGCAAACTTTCGTGGAGGTAAGTAGGCGCGGATGCTGCGTCCATCCGCTTCACCAACAAAAAAATCAATAAAAAATAATATAGGGAAACGGGAGGGAAAAATGGACGTACGAATTCCGTTACAATTTTCATATCTCTCGTTTTTCTTTCACTTTGACTTGGAAATACCACAGTAATATCTTCCAGGCACGTTTCATCCTCCTTCCCACGATCGCACCATTTCCTCTCTTACTTTTACGTCTAGACCCCCGTGCACACGCTTTCCGGAATTGCAAGTACATTTTTATTTTTCTTTCATTGCAATTTTCATTTTTTTCCCCAGGCAGCCGCACGCGAGTTTATCTACCATCAAAAGGAAAATTAATCTGGAGTTAAATATATGGAATTGATGGGTTAATCCATTTTATCGGGGATTTAATGAGATTTTTTGGTATATTTTTTTCAAATCCAGTTTTTCGCTGATATCTCGGTATATAAGGCAGATAACGCTATTTTCATGGATACCTTTTTTGTAGCTCTCAGTTTTTATTAGAAATAATGTTCATGCGAAAAATCGCTGTGATCCTTTGAGTTTTAGATATCGGCAGAAAACCGGCTTTGAGAAAAATATAGTTATCCTAGATTATCACTTCGCTGACGCTATGTGCCGATAACTCGGCAACTGCCGAGTGAATTTGAACGACTGTTCCCCTTGATGACAGAAGACGGGACTTGATTTGAGTTTGGACGGAGAAGTTTAAGATGGAATAAAAATCTTTCAATTTCACTCTACCGATCTCATGTTATTGACGATTGAAGACGTTTCAGTGTACCACACTTTCTCCGGGTTTATATGATAATAATTGCAGAATTCGAAGGAATTTAGGGGAATTTTCTTAAGATTTTGAATCTGTTGGAAAATTCAATGAAAGGAATTTTTGCAATCGGTTTGAAAATGGAAAATTTCATATTTACTTTTTTGTTATGTTGTTTATGTAAATTTATAGACGAAAATTGATGCAAATTTTCAATTGCAAGTTAGTGATCATGGAATATTCGCAATGATGCTTCATAACAAATGGACATAAGTGACCGAAAATCTAACTTAATCTAATTTAATTAATTAAATATCCTGAATTCAGTAGCGAAATGATGTACCGATCTTTGTTAAATACCTCGGAATCCAGAGTAGCGACGAAAAATCTTATCAGAATCTTTTTTGTAGAGCGAATCGAGATCTACAAAAAAGATATTAACAGAAAATTCGGTATCTCCCGTAAATTTGGTGATTTTGTTCAGAAACTCCGGAATAAATGAATTCTCCGTTTCGACATTCTCAAAATGTTTCCCTCTTTTTCGCTCCTCATTGGAATAAGATGCCTGGCACATACGTCCTACTGTCTTTAAGCTCTGACATATTCCATAAACAGATAATTAATTAGCTAATTAATTAATCAACCAACAGCTGGTGTATTAATTCTGTCAGGAAATGATAAACTGGTTTACCTTAATTTTGTCTGTTGTCCGTTTTATAGAAAATATCTCAGAACCTAACGGATATATGAAAATTGTCTTAAGAATCTATTTTGTAGGTTTTACTTTGCTCCCCAAAAAACATCCGTATAAAAATTTTGCATCTCCCTTAGATTCCGAAATATCAATCAACTAGCAATTTAATAATCCAACAACAAATTAATTTTTCCCGAATATTTCAGAGTTCCCAAAAAAATATAAAAACAATGATGGGAACATTTTCTGCAGCCCTAACTTCGCTGCCCCAAAAAGCCCTTTATAAAAAAATCTCTATCTCCTCCAGATAGGTAGATATTCCCCGAAAAACAAAAATCCAAATAAAACGATTCCTCCACTGGTCGCCAACATCATCATCCTCTCGCTGTGAACAATTGGTCCCATGGAGGTGTTGATAGCCCACGCCCATTCGATTTCTAATCCATTTCACCAACAACAATTTATCGTCTCGATCTCCAAACCTCAGCTGCATTAGCACCAGAGCAATCCCCTTATCTCTGAAATTCACTTTCTAGGTCGTCAAAATCGAGCGTCAACCCAGTGGACTTCCTTGGCGGAACGAATGGACCAATTCCCAATACTTTTATCACCTCCACCAGCGTAAACGCCCGATTTTTTGCCTCTATTTACTCCGAATACCTTTCTCGATTTATTCAACTTAAAAAAGAGAAGAAAAACAATAGCGAGAATCACCAGATGCCCCGGACCACTCGAAATATTTTCACTTTCACCGATAACTCTCCAATACAATAAAAATTTGCACAGGAAGATCACAGATTATCGGTAACTGACGATTAAAATGCTAGTCGATCTCCCCAAGGGATCCCTCAGGTGTTATTCCCAGGGGAAAGAGGTGGTGAATTCTCCCTGAGGTCCTCGTGAACGCTCTCAGCTCTACTTGCTGAGCTACTTGATCTGCTGCTGAGATTGTCTCGATCACTGAAGTACGACGAGTCGCCCCTCTTCTCCTCGAGCTTATCACTCCTGAAGTCCTCATTATTGGGGCCAAGTAATCCAGGAAAATAGGGTATTCCCTGCCTCTGGGAGGTGATCTTCCCCATAAAACTCCTGATCTCCTCGAAATATGATTCATCAGCCCTGGGAATTTGTCCATGATATCTAGACCTGACTTCATCAAGAATTGTTGGTCCATCAGAGTCATGTTTCTTGAGATGTCTGTCGAGATTGGTTTGCTGTCCAAAGCATCTCTCACAGAGTGGACACTTGAATGGCTTCTCCTTGTTATGAATATTCCTGACGTGTCGCTGAAGATTGCTGGAGATGCTGAATGATCTCTCGCAGTATTTGCACTTGTAGGGCTGCTCGCCGGTGTGTGTACGAAGATGTCGAGTGAGATTTGCCGATCTTGGAAATACTTTGCCACAGAATTTGCATGAGTATCGGTCCTTGGGTTTGATACCAGTGGTGACTGGATATCCTGGAAGGGCTCCTCCAGATGGCTGAGGTGTTGGTACTGGACTCTGCTGACTTGGTGCTGGACTTGGTGCTCTCTGTGATGATGATGATGTTGATGTAGTTGAGAAACGATTTGAGGTGAGGGGTACCATTGTCGGAAGGGCTCGGACTTGGATCTTTGGGAGATCTGGCAGTGGCTGGTGGGATCTGTACATTGCCTCGAGCACGAGAGGGTGGACGTGGTGCTGGGGGAAGAGGACTGTGTGATAGGGAAGGTTCAGACCATTCTGATTTAACACCTCGATGTCGTTTTGGTTCTCGTCTCGTAGGTGCTCCTTTTTGTGATCGACACGTAGGTCGAGGGGCTCGCAGTCCTGGCCATCTTGGTGGGATGTTGGACGAGCTGCTGGACTCATGTGGGGCTGTTGGCTGAGTAAGGGACTGCCGCGTGTGTTACTGTGGCTCAGGTCGTATGGTAAATCCTCAGGGTCTGGTACTCGCACGCTCAACGGATAAATACTCGCCTGCTTTGGTGATATGTGCCCCGGCATCTTTCGGGGACTTGAGTCCTTCTCCCGCATTGCTGCTGGTGGGTTTTTTGAGTCCGGGTCCAACGGCGAGACCGTGAGGTAGCTCATCACACTGACCAGGGACTCAGGGATTTTGAGAGCTTCTTCGTTATCTGAAAATCAGGGGTTGCAGATCATTTAGTCAGATTATTGTGGTGAAATCGGGGGGATTTCAACGATTTCATATAGTTGGCCAGGAATATACGAGTTTCCAGGTGAAATTTCTCGGAGGAAAAAGAATTTTAGGAGCTTTGATGTGTTTTGTTGTATTTTCATTTGAAAATCAGGGTTTTCAAGGGTTTTAAAATCAGTTGGACGATTTGAGTATTTAGTTCAAGTTACTGAGAAATACCAAAATTTCGAGGGGTATTTCTCGGAAAAAAACAAGAATTTCATGAGTTTTCGTCTTTTTTGTTTTATTTTTCTTTGAAAATCAGGTGTTTCTAGGGTTTTAGAGAAAAATTCTTGCTAAAATCGGTTGGAGGATTTGAATTAAATACTCAAATACTACAAAAACACTAGTTCAAGTTGCTGAGAAATCCAAAAGTTTAGAGGGTACATTTCTCGAAGGAATACAACAATTTTATGAGTATTGTTTAATTTGTGTTGTTTTTAAAAATCAGATTTTTCAAGGGGTTAACAGAGAAAATCATAACTGATTCAGTGAAAATTACAGATAAAAATAAGTTACGAGGCAATAGTTTCCGGTTAAAAATAAAAATTCTTTTTTCAGGTTATGCAATACATAAAAATATACTTATTACCGAGAAAATTAAAGATTGAAGAGTTGGAGAATTTCAATACATCGACTCGGTCGCCGAAATGTCTTTCAACAAATTGACACAATAAATTGCATAATCTCGAATAGAAATGGCGCAAAAAACAAACGGAATTGTTTAATAGAATTGTTATAAAACTTCAATGGAATTCTTCAGAGAAAGTTCTAGTTTTTTCTCCTAATTTTCTTCATGTGTATAAATTGGCTAGTTTATGTATTTTATGTACGATGGTTATGTTTTTATTTATATACCAAAGAATTAGTCAATATTTACTTCCACTGTATCCCAAGTACGGACTAAATTAAGTGAGAATTAAAATCGTACAAAAAATAAACATTTAAAATTTAAACGAATGCCGAATTCTCACTGCCATAAATAGTTATTTATCGATTATTATCATCTATAATGAATACCTTTTGGTAATAGTTAGAGTCCGGGATGAGTAATTGTTATTTACGGTGAAGTTATGGATTTCTAGAATAATACAAGTGTTTATTTAGTAAATGTATAAAAATTGGGGATTCACTTAGACATGATTTCTTAATTTCTCCGAGGATTGTGAAAATGGTGGGGACCGGATGCGATGTTTAAACTGTCATCGTTAATTAAGGGGCTTTTGTAACGTAATTGAAGCTTTTGAGAAGGATTAGACGCGGTTAAATGAGAGAGAAATGAGAGATTTGAATGAGGAATGAAAGTATTTCGGGGCGTTTGATGGATATATATATATATATATATATTTTTAAAATTGTTGCTGGGTGATGGATCCGTTTTTTATTGCAGTTGTGTGATGAATTGTTGGTCATTTATCAGGTGGGAAACGGTAAAGAGTGTTAATGCAGGGTTGACAGAGATGAAGCAATCGTTTGGGGTTGATGAGAATTTTGTGTGAAAGTCTCATGGTGAGAATCAACTGGAATTCTCGGGAGATTGGTGGTCTACGATAAATCATTGGAGAATGTATTGTTGAACTGCAGTTTTTCCGGGGTTTCCCGTCGGGGATACACGTGTGAGACGTTGTCAATCAAATTGTACGGAAAATAATATGCAGGGCAGGAATAAGTTGTGAAAAGTGTATGGATCAAGTTATTTGGGAAAATGAAGAAAATTGGAAAAATCGGTAACGAGGACTTTTTGTAAAAATCGAAAGAAAGTAGCTTGGAAATTAATATACTGGTATAGGCACTTGGATCAAGTATAAAATGTATATTCTAGCAAGTATTGAATATACTTTATTCAAGTATGTACGTTAAACATGCAATAAGTATACTATCGCATTTAATTCAAATATAAAATATAAATATGCATGTATTTTGAAGAAAGCATATACTTCAACCAAGTACACTTGATATATAAGTATATAATATACTTGGATGAAATATAAAGTATACTTGAACCAAGTATATATGTTTGTCTGTACAAAATTCAATAACTCAATTTCACTGCAATGTTTCTTTTTTTGAATTTTCAAGAAGAGAAAAATTATCAATTTTATGGGAATTGAAGAATTTGATATGTTCAACTTTATTCATGTGAGCGATACTGAAATATTTCACTTAAATAATAATTAATTGAAAATTTTCAATTTTTGTATAATTTTCTTTTTCCATGCCGTGAAGAACTCAAGTTTATTAGACAAATTACGTGAATAATTGGTTCATGAAATTGTTTTTATAATTAATCATTTTTCCAATAATTATTCATACAATTTTCCTCAGAAGGGCCATATGGAGTTGAAATTTTCTGAACAAGTTCCATGAGATAATAAATAAAAAATCATAAGTTCGAATTAATTACCAGTGATTTAATGCCATAATTTTTTTAAGTGAATTACAAGATTTGTGAATGAATTAAGAACGTCGATTTTTCAAGCAATCGACTTGATAAATTTCACCACAAGCAAAATGTCAAATGGGCGATGTAACAACAAAAAAATTTGACTTCCTCATGGAATTTAATTGATAAATGAATGACTGATTGTGAAAAAAAAATGTATTCACCTGTGAATCTTCATAACGCATTCCAAACCCCCCGGGGAATAATAATTGGCGGCGACTCTCGCAATCCAAAATCGGATTCCATTTAATTTTCGAATATTAAAGAGCCGAAGTTACAGGGATCGATTGACATAACTCTGTGAAACGTCAATCCAGATTAATCCCATTTTTTTTCTTCTCCATCCAGAATAAATTCCGAGGAATTTCACGTCATTTCTAGATGACGAGACTCGATAATGGCTGTCCTATATATTTTCCCACTTACGAGAGATCAACGGGATCGAATAAATTTCTGGTTATTGTGTCTCGTATGTAATGGGGGAGGGGATCGTTTAATCGATTTCAATCTGTAGGTAGTGAGGGCATTGATGTCTCTTATACCTCCGGTTAATGCTCGCTCGATACTTTACAGCACTCGACCTGCCTTCCTGCTCCACCATTGATGTCTCTATACGTACATAGTGTACATACTATACAGGCTATCCCGCACTTTCCAACAAGTAGCCACCCACATTCCATCGACCAAATTAATTAATCACCAAAAAAAATTAATATCTCAATCAAGTATATTTTGCTATTGATTTTGATTTTGATTTGATTGATTTGACTATATACGCTCTACTTGGAATTTATATTAATATAATTGTATCCTCATTAAAATTCCTAAATAATCATTATAATAATTAATTCCCCATAATAAATAAACTTATTTAAAGGATAATTTAAAATCTTTATATCGAGTATGAAGTATATTTGATTCAAGTTTTTTTTTCCGTCATTGAAAATTAAAAAAAAAATTCATTCGAGTTTTTAATCTTTTTTAAATGGAGTTTGATGCATGGAATTGATTTGAAAATAATTTAATTTTAATTTTAATTTTAATTTTAATTTTAATTTTTATTTTAATTTATTGAAAAGAAATTAATGATGGGGTTTCAAATATTAAAAAAAAATCGAATGTGAAGTTGAATTTTTTTTTAATTTAAATAGAAAAAAAAGATATTGTTTCATTTCCATTTAAATCTCATTAAAATTAATGAATTAATTTCATAAATCTTTAATCAAAATCATCATTCAATCAAACATCAAATATTCTCAATATTCCATAATTTTTATTTTTATTAAAAAAAAAAACACTAAACCACGCGGAGAAAACGTCTACGAAAAAAATGACAGCATGAAATTTGACGAAAAAAGGTAAATTACCGCATAATCACAAGTGAGATGAAATTTTATGAAAAAATTCCGCCGTGCAATTTGGCGGCAATTTAAAATGAGTAAATGATGTTTCGCAAAAAAAAGGTAAAAATGGCAAAAGGGAAAAGAAAAAAAAATGGAAAAATAGAAAAATGTTTAAATGGAATGATCAGACAGTGGTATCGAGTTCATAACCATTAGAGGTGCATAAATCGTTGATAAACACTTACGAGAATTTTATAGTAGCCTGAGAATTTTCACCACTGAATATTCATCCTCTGAATTCTTATGGATTAGTGCGGACTATAATGGCGGAATCATGGGTCTCCCCCGGCGACGAGAAAATCATAGTTCATTTGATGCTGCGGTTTTAGGTCTAGTTACAGCGAGGGGACATTAACGTCGTTTAATTAATAAAATACTGCGGAGAAATGTTTGCTTTTCGCGCGATGCAATTTTCCCCCGGTGGAATTTTTTGATCGTTACGGAGAATTAAGAGATCAGATCGTAATTCGTTGGATATCTTTTTGTGGTGTTATGCAGGGATGATGAAGTAATTTACGGGGAAAATCGCTAGATAAATGGACGTTGATTGCCGCATAAATTTGCGAATTTATCCGGGGCAAAACGAAATCAATTTTTAGGGAAATCGCCATTTTTGTTTTTTTTTCTCTTTTAGGGGTCGAGTGTTTAAGCTAGAGGGTATGAGCTAGAGTTTATCACCCTTCAACCATTTTTCATACGTAAATTAAATTTATTTCCATCCTTAAAGTGAACACTCTTTTGCGGTTAATTTAAATTATCAGCCTTAAGTCACTTGGAACTTGGAATTAAGATAACCATTAGTTCCGAATAAAGTGTCTGAATGCTCTTAATGTTATTTTATTAATCGTAAATTAAGAAACTCCTTTCTCCACATTCTTCTGGGATACCAGGGGTGTATTTAATGGGTCGTCAAAACGTTGCGAAATATCAAATTATAAGGATAGAGCAGTGAATTTTACCTTTTGTTTTTTTAGAATTTATTGTAATCGTTGAATTACGAGTTTGTCTTTTTTGTGTTACGTCGAGCGATTATGATCCAAAAAGTCTTTTTTCAAATTCATGTTCGATGGAAAGCTAATTTATTCGTTAAATTGA